GGTCCATGAGGGAGCACACGTCTGTGGGCACCACGGCTTGGTGCCCGCTGCTGCCGAGCCCAGAGTTGGTTGTGCTGCTAGGTGACTGCTTCTTCCTTTGTTGGCAAACAATGATCTCGTAAAAGCATCCCCGCTGGATGAAAAAGGGAGCTGGAGCCAGTGGAAGAAACAAAGCCAGGTTGGGCCAGAATGGCTTGAAGTCCTTTCGCTTCCCCAGAGCTGGTACCTGCAGTGGTGCAGAACACAGACAGGGGGAAAAGTTGCCTTGTCTCGGACTGTGTTGTCTCTGTTAAAAAAAAAAAATAAAATTCAACCTCACGTTGCTGTTGTGCCACTTAACATTTTATCATTCCCCGTGACTTACAGTCTCCAGGTTTTCAATATACACATATACGCCACATGTAGTTGTTTTCTCTTCTTGTTATTTAAGGTAAAAAAAAAAAAAAACAACTTAGGTATAGCATTGATTTTTTAATTTTGTTTTTCCCTCCTTCCCAGTTTATGATTTGAACAGGACGTGCTGCAGACCTCTCTTTATTCGTTAAGGAATATGGGTGGGTTTTAATTCTTCCCCCGCAGTCTGTTAATTCCATCGTAGAGGTGTTTTTCATAAACATGGGCAAGATTCTGACTTGAATTTGGAAACTCCGCTGACTTTTCGGTTTCACCGCACATGTCCGTTCTGTTTCAAGCCGGTTTAGGTAAAGGAATCTCACGTTCTGGGAGGGACCAACTCGAGTACGTGTGCGCTAGGCTTTGGGTTCGTACCGCTGTTTCTGGGGACAGTTTGTGGAGCTAACGGGGATGAATCATCAGTTAATACCTGTCAAATCCAGGTAGTCACACGAATCCTTCAATATGCACACGCATAGGCTCCCTTCTTGTTCCCCAGCATCTGAACGCTATTAACAGCTGTCAAAACCTGGTAAACTATTTATATGCTTTCACAATTTGTTTAATTGGATAGTTAGGAAATGGCATACAAGAAAAGCTTTTTCTTTTTTCTTTCTTTTTTTTTTTTTCTTTAGTCTGGCTGAACATCTGTAGCATTAGGGGCTCATTATCTCTGAATTGGCATAGCAAATCAGCAGCATCATTAAAATGCCACATTAAGATGATTAAGTTTCTTTGTTATCCAGTTGACTTTTTGCATGTGCTGAGGATTTCACGATTATGACCCCACTCCTTGTAAAACACTTGAGCAACATCACCCTTTTGTGCCGTCGTCTTTAATAGCTTCTGGGTTTGATTCTTGGTGCTTTTCGTAACACTACTGGTAAACTTTGCTTAACAACAGTACAAAACTTATGTTGTTTTCTCTATATTTGATGCCCAGGTCTTGGATTAAAGATAGTAATTGGGGTTTTTTTCCTTCTGAGACTTCCTCCTAGAGAGAACAGCTAAGATAAGACTTTAGCTTGTCCTAATTGTTTGCTGCTGTTGTCTTCTTTTTTTTTTTTTTTTTTTTTTTTTTTTTTTTTATTCATGCGCTTTATAGAACATACACAAGCACTGTTCATGTGGTGACTCAGTCTGAAGTTGCCACCGCAGCTTTATTTTGGATTTTTTCCAGAACCCATTGTTTTTACAGCGTTTCAGGTGAAACAAAAATATTACTCTGGAGTATGTCTTTCATCTTGTAATCATCTCCCCAGGAAATGAAACCATGTGCATCAGCCTTAACGCATCACGCTGGTGCTTTGTTGTGTCAAATCTACAAGATTTTGTTCTGCAGTGGGTATTACCTTCGTGAACTGCCTCAAGAAAAATAGTTACCTGGGTAGGAGACCGTGAATGTTTTTTTCCTCTTACAACCTCTTTACTTTCCTAAGCATGGAAGAGATGACAGCAATTTTTTAATTTTTTTTTTCAACTGGGGGAACTTTGTTAATGTTGTTAGGGATAATTGTGTTTTTCCTCGGTTAAATTTCCTTTTTCTACTTGAAGTTACAGCTGCCTTCCTCTTGGTTAAGGCAGACGAGCCTGGAAACTCCCTAATCTCATTAAAACGTGTTGATACGATTTTTAAGTGACAGATACAAACCTTTCCAGGCAGCTGCCAATCTCCTTATCTCACACTATGCTCTGTGCATGCCCATACACACAGCAAAAGTCAGGGCTGAAAAAGGAATTTAGTTGCTTCAGACCTCTGCAACACTTGGTTAATTTGGGCCTGACTGTACTGAGGCGTCTCTTCCTCCCCCTGCTTTGTACCAAAGCTTTCTTCTGTGCTGCACTCAGGAAGGCTGAGTAGACTCGAAACAATAACAGGTGTGTTAGGACAGGAAAAAATCCAACCCTTCTAACATTTATTTGGTTTAAAAAAAATCCTCTTCCCTAGTGGCTTCTGCTGACAGTAGTTCTCAATCATCGGAAGGTGAATTTTGCCGTTGAGGTTCTTCAGGTTCCAACACACAGACCGGAAAGTGCTTGAGCTGTGGTGGGATGGCACTGGCTGCTGGAGCGGTGGTGGCGGTCCTGGGGGGAGGCAGTGGTGGAAAAGCCTTAATCAGAACTCAAGTGCATCCTTCTCTGTTACTATCCGAAAACAGCAGCACTGCAGGCGGGCAGCATGCAACATGGAAAGTGCAGAGGTAATTATTTTCCGCAGTGGAACCATAGGATGGCTTACCCAGTTTGTGCCAGTCAGCAAGGGGAGCTCAAACCAGCTGCGCCACATGGACACCAGCATTAAAGAGTAAAAAGCTGTGAGCCCTGAACTTGCGGTGAGAAACAGTAGAAAACGGTAGAGAAGTTTTCTCAGTTGGAGGTTACAACTAGTCCGCCGCCGCTAAGCAGTCGCACTCGATGCAGACAAAAGGTGGGACGTTAAGTAGAAAGTGGGAATTGAAATTGTGTCTGAAAGTACCAACAAGGTGCAGCTGCAGTGTGTACTTCCTTTTACCCTGTTGTGCAGGATGTAGCAAATTATTTTGGAACTGCCTCCTTCTGAGAGGGAAAAAAACCCAACCAACCAACCTTTTTTTTTTTTTTTTTTTTGGAAAAGAGATTCTGTTGAAAGCTGCTTTCAGCAACTGGCAATAATTTTTCCTTAGAGTGATGGAAATGAAAGCGTGAACTAGTTTTGGAGGAGTCTTGGTAGCAGGGTCACCCTCGCACCCTCAGACGTGACGTTGGCAGCAGAAGGTCCCTGCAGAGGGTGCCCCGTTTCCGTGGGATACCCGGGGCGAAGGTGCAGATTAAAACGGCCCGTTTGTAGGTGAACCCAGACCTCCCTCTGCCGCCCTGAGCAAACACCCAAACTGGTGTGAGCCCTTCTGGGACCGGGGCAAACAGTCCCAATACCAAACTCTGATAAAACCATCTGAGATAGGGGCATAAACCCACGCAATATGGGGGGAAAAAAGCCATCCTGCTGTGGGTATCATCATCCGGGGGGGCACCAGGAGGAGTCTCGGAGGCTTCCAGGCTGCTGGGGATTCTTGTGTAGGATGAAGAACTTATCACCCACCTGCTTCTTCCACCCCACTTCAACCCAAAGTAAGATGGAGTGGCTGGGCTGAGTGCAGTTAGGCTACAGGAGTGATTTTATCACTAAAATATAGTTGAAAATTTTGGTTTCATGAAAGCATTGGTTGCCAGATCTTTATTTTTCAGTGCTGCTTTTATGTTGCCACCTCATTTTCGCTGTCACCCATTGTTTGTTCTCGGCATTTGATGTGGTTTATTACTCAGAACCGGAGCTAATACATATTCAGCAGTCCATGTTCTGTACTTTGGAGAAAGGACAAGTGATTAAGTGCCATATTTAACTGCCTAGCCCTCAGTTTGAGAGAGGAGCAGGTGGCCATGAGAACAATACTTTCAAACAGGAAACTCTGTATTTTATCTCTTTGTGCTTTTCTTCACTTGGTAGCTTGAGGCATAGCTCGGGTTTCAGCCATAGCCCAGCTCTTGTCTGGATGGAAAAGTCAGCTCGAAGCCGAACAAAAGCTGTCCTGTCGATTAGCAAGGACTGAACGCCAGTGCTGGTAATGCTGGAGTTAACAGTGGAAGGGAAATGCAGCGACATAAGTTGAGAATCATCAGCTGTTTATATAGTGTGACCAATTCGTTTATATTTTTACGTGGGAGCGTTATTGTTGGTAAATTATGAGCCACTTGTTACCTTCTCCTCGCGTCATGAAATTGCGTTCATTTAAGGCAGTGGCGTCGGTTTTCTCTGGACGTGGCGACAGGTCCGGGAACCTCTCCAAGGGCCACGGGTGCTGATCTTCTTGAGTCTGGGTTCTTTGCCACTCGCAGTATGACTTCAGGCAAATCTTTTAACGTTTCTGGGACACATCTATTTATCAGGAGATCTCCACTCTGCCTCTGCTGCTTTTCCTCACATCGTAAAGCAACCTTGCGATACGGGTGTCAAGATTATCGGATGCTCCTCGCAGGTTGGAGATCTTTGGATAAAAATTGCACTTTGCAAGTGAAAATTAGGATTATTCATTAGGTTTAGCTGATGAGAATCTCTACCGTGAGAGCATTGGAAGTCTTTTACTGGATCAGGTGTATTTCTTAGGCATGTTTCAAGCACCAGAGGTTCCATGGGAAGATAGATGTATCCTTTTTAATCTGTGTCTCTATTTCCACTTCACGAGAGTAGCCTGTGACGCTAATTTCTGTAGGTGAATTGTGACTTGTGGGAATAAGTATTTTCTTTTGATTCCTGAATATTACCCTGTAATCGCAGAAGTTTGTACTGTATTAACCTTTTATAATCTGTAGAAGGAAATTTTTCATCAAAGGTAGTTAACAGGCAGGTCAATATTTGTAAAGGTTATCTCACTGTGGGTATCATCAAGTGTACATGACCCATGAAGATTCATGTCTCAACTGCGTTTCTTCATCTTTGGGGGTTTAAGTAAATCTTTTAGAAAGATTGATAATGTCATTTATGTATTTTTTTTTGTGAGCTTTTTTCCTAAGATACTTCACTGTGCCTAAGATGAGCATCTTTTCACTTTTGTGCTTTGTTTTACCTGCAGATGATGTGGTTAAAGTGAAAGGTGAATACAGTGAAAGAGAGGAGAGTGCTTTAAATTCAGAGCCTATGGAAAACCCAGAAGAATCTGAAATGCCTTACACCTATCCCAGAGAATATAATGAATATGAAAGCATTAAACTGGAAAGACATTCGGGTTCATATGACAACGTCAGGCCAGCTAGTGGAAAAATGAATTGTGATATCTGTGGATTAGCCTGCATTAGCCTCAATGTCTTGATGGTTCATAAGCGTAGCCACACCGGTAAATATCCCTCTATTATTCTTGTAAGAGCTGAATACTGAAAGGAAAATAATGTGTAATCTAGACTCCTTATTTTTAAAAAGAATACCAAAATCAGTATTTGTTTGTTCTGTCCTTGATGTCCTAGAGATCCACGTGTGATCTCTAGCGAGTAACTCACTTTTCTGTGCCTCGCTTTACCCACCTTTCTTCTTATCAGGATTGAATGTTAGTAAAAGCACGTTTGTGAGGCATTTTAAGAATTTTGGATGAAAGGCACTATGTCATTTAAGCGTTTCAGGCACAAAACACAAGTTAGATTGGTTTTGTGCTCCCATTTCCAGTCTGTATATGTATTTGTGCTGTTCTTTGGCAACGAACCTGAGCATCTTAGGTTTCGACCTGCAGTAAGATGAGACTTTTTTTTTTTTGCAATAAAAATTGCTAGCTTGTTGGAATCAGCCTCCTCCAGAACACTTATTTCCATGGGAGAACTGTACGGTGTTTTCCATAGTTGTACATATGTTACAAGAAGCTCTGACACCAGAGCTGCGTGTAACTCCCACTGAAGTCAACGGAAGGGCTGTCTGGGTTTCTAGAGAAAGAAATTGATCCAGTATCTCATTCTTTCCTCTTCCAAAAAGGAAAGGGTATGAGGATAGCATGATACCCACGTAACCATTAAATGTCCTTTTTTGTATGTCATTTTAAGGTGAACGGCCATTCCAGTGTAATCAGTGCGGAGCTTCCTTTACTCAGAAGGGTAACCTCCTCCGCCACATTAAACTACATACAGGGGAAAAACCTTTTAAATGTCATCTTTGCAGTTATGCCTGCCAAAGGAGGGATGCGCTAACAGGTCACTTAAGGACCCATTCTGGTAAGTGACTTCAAAGACACTTCATGTGTTTGAGCTGTGTGTCACTAGGACACTAGGTGTGGAAAACAGAGTCAGTCAGCAAAGTTTGCTCAGCTCTAGCTCGAGGAGTCGACAAAGAGCAGCGACCACTCGCTCTGGCTGCTGTGCTGATGGAACCCGCCCGGGACCCGGCTCCACTCTTAACGCAGGGAGAGGGCGCAGGGAAACCCGCTGTCGTGCCGTCTCCAAACCTGCCTGCACAAAGTGAGTGGAGCTGGCTGGGCCAGCACGCTCTGAGCTTGAGGAGCAGCGCAAAGGCACGCTTGGCTCTTGGGATGGCTCTAGGAGCATAATCCAGGACAGCGTGACTCCCCTGCCAGATAACACCTCGCTGTTGTATAGTGCCTTTCATCTGAATGTCTTAACATGCTCAACAAATGCCAGTGGGTTTTCTCAAGACTGGTAGGGTGTTGCGTCCATTTTACAGATGGGAGATATGGAGGCACAGAGCTGAGGTGACTTGAGTAACAAGCCAGGTATAAACTGATTAATCTTAGTTCCCCCAGTTCTCCAAGAGCTAGGTTGTGCTTACTCTTTAATTTGGGTATATCCTGTGTTATAGAGGAGCCTAGAAAGAAAATATTTATTCTGAATGATAGATGTTATCTCTGCATTGCACTTTAGGGGAAAAAAAGTTCAACCTCACAAAGAATCAAAGTTCACAATGAGATGATCTGACATGGATAAATGAGATTCTGATTTAATCAAGACCCAGCACAGTGGTGGTGACTGTCCCCCGCCAACACAGTGCTAAAAACCTCCTGCTTCAGACACATCGTGTGGTTATTGTGACTGAAGTTTTTAAGAGCTGGCTTATTAAACGGCGTAAAGAAAATCTCTTCAAGTGAATCAGTGTAAATAAGTGAACAATTGCATTAGCAGTAGGGAGCGTGGTGTTTTTGCGGGGTATTCAATGCAAGGCGAGTTCTATTTGTGCTGCAGAGGGATGATGATTTGCCCCAGGTGTGTTCGAGGATCTCTGCTCACAGAAGAGTAACGAGATCATTCAGGCAGTGCTCCCAGTCCTTGGGTGTGAGGCACTGGGAAAGGCTGTGTGGGTATCTGGGCTTCCAGACAGGTTTGCTTCAGCTTAAATCAATTAGGAACAGAATTCACTTTACAACAGATGCCTTTGGAAATTAAATGAACCTCACATACGGTTTGGGTTTGGTTTAAATTCATCAGTTTCATCAAATCCTTGAAAAATGCCGTGCAGGCAGGACCTAGGGCAGGCGGGCGGGACGGATGCGGTCCGGTTTAGCAGCGGTGCAGTTGCTCTTCCCTGGGGAAGTGACACCAGGAGAAGTTGTCAGCTGGAGCTGGGCTCCGGGAACCGGAGCCCCTGGGAACAGCCTCTTGCTGCAGGTCCTCTGCTTTTCTGGGGCTGAGCTCGGGGGGGTGAAGAGCAAGGAACTCTCTGTGTCCGGGGGGGGCCTCACCCTTGTGTAACCCCGATTTTGTGATGATTGCAGTGCTCATAAACTTAACAGAAATTTAAAGCATTCTTCACGAGCTGAATATATTCTGTTAGTAACTATATACGTGACTGTCAGGGAGCCAGCTGGGTTTGAGCAGTCTCCTGGGGTTATCTCATACCGAGCTCTTGTTTTTCTAGTGGAGAAGCCGTACAAATGCGAGTTTTGTGGAAGGAGCTACAAGCAAAGGAGCTCGTTGGAGGAGCACAAGGAGCGGTGCCGTACTTACCTGCAGAGTGCTGGCATGTGCGAGGCTGGTGAGTTCATCGCGTTGTAGTGGGTTTGGGTTTTTTGCTGCATTACGGTGCTTAAAAAAGGGCATCGGGCAAGCTGTTAATTCACAGCCTGAGAACAGTTTTCACTACAATCATTTTCAGTAACCTGAGGGGCTGTAACATCTTAGAAAAGGGTCTGGTTTAATGCATCCCTCAGGCGACTAGTTAAGGAATGCTTTTATTTTAATCGCTTTTTAATTTCACAGTTACTTTGAATAAAAGATCTAAAATACCTTGTACGCAGCATTTCTGTAGGTGACACTCACAGCGAGCTAAATTATTCCTACATTAATGCTATTACGTGGCTCATTTTATTGGAGGAGTTGCTGCCCACGGTCGTTGACAAGCAGTTGTTCACGTGTCTCAGTCCGTTTGATGCTTCCTTTAGAATAAGAACTGTGGGTCAGATCTGGTCAGAATTTGCAGAATTTCTAGTGGCACGGATCTAGGGCCTGGAAGTGGGGTGGTAACCCGACGGTCACTGGTAGATCAGCTCAGGAGGTAGTGAGAGGCACGGGACTACTCTGAGTGTAGAGCTGTCTCTGAGAAAGGCTGAAGGTAAAATATATCAAAGCACAGTTTTTCTTATTTTCCTTTTCACATCTCAGTGCTGCAGTTCTGAAAATACTTTGGTGAAAAATAACCGCCATAATTCTTTGAGCCTCCTTCACCCCAATATTTCAAATCCTAAAATGAACTTTTATGATTTAAATCCCACAATATGCCAGTAAGGCAGGAAAAAATTGCATTTCTCGGTCAGTCGGGGAGTGGTTGTGACCTCCCAGGAGATTATTTGATTAATCCGTAGCAGAGCTGAGGCTACAATTTCAGAATTCAGGTTCCCATTCTTTTCCTTCGCAGCCTTAAAAAAAGAAAGAATAACTATTTAAGGACTCAAGCTTCCTAGTTTTGATTGTGATTTCTCTTCAAGGAGAAGGCTAAACTGAGTTTTCAGAGAAGAAAACTGAAATGTAAAATTATCGTTAGGGAGATGACAACGGTAACCAAGGCCCTTTAACAGTAATTAAAAATTATTTGTCTTTAGTGATACGATTATCAAGCAATGATTCTGCAGGCATCATCACGAGCTGGTGACAACCATGTGGTCACAGAGTCCTCACCCTGCGCAAGAGGGAGTAGGTTGGTGTGTCAGGCTTCGTGACACAGGCGCACGCAAAAACGGCCGTGGAGAAACGATGCTTTAACAAAGTTAGAGGTTTTTGCAGTTTTTCACGAGCGACCTCTCCAGCAAAAGACATATTTTGTAGAGCATTAGTAAAAGTAAACGGTTCTCAGAACATCAGCAAGTTTTGGTTTTCATGAGAACCCATACCTGTTGTAAGCGTGGGTTTACGTTACAGTACGTACTCCCGTGGTGACAGTCACTCCAAGATGCCCACCACCTGAAAATGGAAAGCGTGATACCTGCTATAGATTTCTGCTTTTAAATGCTCCTCGGGGTTTATATTCATTTCAGTCTAGCACCATTTCGGTGACCCACAGCCTGCTGCGCAGCACGGGCTGCAGCACTACAGAATGCCTTAAACTGGTCACAGAGGAAATGTAAATTTCCAGCAGGACGTGATGTGGCTGCACCCTCTGCCTTTAAGCCCTCCGCACTTTAAAAAATATTGCAGTGTTTTGAGTGGAGTAGTAAGTTTTATGAAAAACAGGAACTCCAGTCTTGCTGAGACGTTTTCCATTCGGTTCTCTGGTATCAGCACTCTTGTAGCTGGCAGAGTCAGGGGGAGGGAAGGCTGGAAGGGACCTCAGGAGGTCATTTAATACATTAAATTTGTTTTTTTTTTTTCCCTTAAGTGTAGCACTTTGCACTTGTGTTCAGTGAACACCGTTGTTTGATTTCTCACCGTTTTCCTCCATATCCACATCACTTTGAGCTTTGGTACTTTTCTGAAGCCCTTGCAGCCTTCTCACGCGGAGCCACCTTTAACTGCACGTGTGCTCTGCAGTGCCATCCCCCAGGAATTAATTAAAATACTGAAAAGCATCAGGACCGGAGTAACCCTTCTGGTTGCTTTTTAACATGAGGTTTGCATGTTCCAACTGTAGCAGTGTGGAAATATTTCTGAAAGAAAGGTTTTATGCAACGATATTGTTAGAGCGTTTGCTCAGTCCCTGATAATCATCTCGGGTCACATTGTTCTCATTGCACAAGAACCCACCTCTCTGTTCCACTCTCCATTATTTAGTGACCACATAGAGATGCTACAGGAAGCAATGCCTCCAATTTGAGCTGTGCTTTGGGCTTTAGGGTTTTGTTAAGGATGCCCGCACGTTCTAAAAATTGTACACACGTCGACGGTGTGAGAGAAACCACACCATGGAAACAATTCGGTACAGGCTACACCATCGTGGGTTCGTGCTCTGGGCTGGAGGGAGAGTATCCACGCTCTGTACAGCTCCGGAATGACCCCATGACTAGGTGACAGCGCTGTTTTGGAGAGGTGGCTGGTCACCACCTGAACAACACAAGCAGTCAGTCATGACGGATAAATCGCACTTGCACAGAAATGTTCTTCTGGCCGTGTTTTATAACTGTAAGCTCGCACCCGCAGCGTGCAGAGCACCCAGGCAGGCAGCAGCACGTGGAGGCACCAGCGACATCGCCGGGGGGGGGACCCGGCAAGGCCGTAAGCCCTCCCTGTGGTGTCAGCTAAGTGGGAGGTGGCGACCCAGGCTTGGAAGTGGTCAGGACACCGGAGCTAAACCCCGTCCTGCTGCTGCGTGTAGTGAGCTTGGCTGTCCGTGTAACTCCAGAGGCACACGCGAGAGCACTGATGGGTCTGAACGGGAGGCAAGAGGCTGATTTATTTGGTTTGCAGTTTCTCACAGCATCCTTAGAGTTGTTGTTGTTTTCTGGCCACGTGGTTGAACCACCAGAAGTATTTAACCTGCAGGACACAGGCTGAAGTAGGTTAAGTGCTTTGGAAGTCCAGATTTTCTTTATAATAATTTGCTTTTTCTCAGTGTAACTTTGAGAAAAGCACTTGACCGTTGCTGTCAGTCCAGCCTGAAATTTATTTTTAGATCCATGTTATAGTTAGATAATTAGTTCTTTAAACTCAAGTCACCACGTGCAGTGGAATCATCCAGTGGGTAAGGCAATTGAAGAGGAAGACAGGGCGTGATTTTCTCTCTGTTTGAGAAGTCTTTAGAAAATTTGGAGGGATTAAAAAAAAAATGTTTCCTAAATACTCACCGTGATTCGTGGATTGTTTAAGAAAGTGATCCAGGAGAAAGGTGAATGAGAGAATTTAAAGGTAGCTTTTGGGTAGCGAGCGCAGTGTCGTGGGAGGGAACCAGTGGCTCAGCGGGAGCAGACGCTTCTGCCCTGAGGCTCTATTGCGAAGACATTGTCAAGGACCTTTTGTGGCCTGTAAATAGAGATGATTTTTTAATTTAGGAAAAAAAAAAAAAGGCTGTTAGCAAGGAACAGAAAATCTGAATGCGAAAGAAAAGACCCTCAGCCTTAAAATAAAACGGCAGACAGACATCAAGCTGGAAGATTGATACTTAGGGCTGTCCCAGAACATATTATGTAGGTCAATAGTTACTGTCTCCTCAGCAATCTCATCTGAGTAAAGACTATTGTTACCTCTGCAGGAAGCCGCTTGTCTGCCCTCTTGACACTAATTTAATAAAGTTCCCTTGGTGGCACATAAATAACACGGACAAGACAAGTAGTCACTGATGTGCTACGTGGAGCTTGCGGGGTGTTTCTAGGGCTGGCTGAGAGGACTTGCAGAAACTTCGCTCTCTGAGTTCCGTCAGCAGGTAAAAAGATTCTGAAATTAAAGCTTTAACAGAACATGAGTGCAGCTCGTGAAGTTAAAGACCGAGAAAAAGAGGAACTAGAAGAACAAAATAAGAAAAATGAAAAAGTGGTAGGGACCAGGAAGCTGCTCTTATGACATGGATTAATTGTGTTTGCGCTTTTTTTTTTTTTTAAATTGTAATTTCCAACATAAATTTTTGACTCTACAGCACCGTGTGTATTATTATCTTGTTCGGGATAGCTGTGGGTTGTTAAAATTTAAATTACTATTATTAATGACCTGTGCAATGATCCTGTCAAGATTACAAGCTGTCTGGGTTGGGGACGGTTCCAACCTTGAACCGCAGTCACCTGAAGATAATATAAAGAGCTCAGAAAGCATATTTCCACTTTTTTTTTTTTTTTTTTTTTTTTTTTGAAATTAAAAATCCTATAACATTATTCTCAAGAATTAACTAGAGCTTCTGGCCAAAATCCAAACGGATGATTTTGTTCTGCCTACCTAACTTTCCCTTATAGTTTCAACTGAATCTGATGTTTTGTCTCACTCGATGTAAACTGTTGCGCAGCGTCCTGGTATTTCATGCTGGAAGCAGGTGCGTTTTAGCAGCTGACGAATATATTTATGTAAGTCTCTAAACAGACAGAGCGATTTGGAATAAAAAGCAGACTAGGAGAGCAGTCTGTTCCTGCCTTGAAGGCAGTGTCTGGGCATGCTCCCTGTGGGTTATCATGTTCATCACGGGGCTACAGCCTGGTGAGACAGGGCTCGGGGTAGTGCTGAGCGGAGCCCTCTTATCCCATCCCTCCTGAGTCATATTTGTAGCTAGGATTTGTGGCACTGAGGACTTAGGAAGCACTTTACGTTTTCAAACTGCTGAACAAACGTTAACAGATAGTTCTGGCTGAGGTTTGGTGAGTCATGGTTTGTGCTGACTGAAACTCATGTGGCATCAATAACAGCAATAATAAACAAGTAAGGAGAGACCGACTTTGAAATTTAGAGGGCAGCGCTGCACACGGAGCTGGGGAAGGATGGAGCGGTGGTTTTATCACTTGCCGTACTTGACAAGCTGCAGTTTAAGGCCAATACTTAATAAAACTGCTTTTAATAATACTTAATAAAACAGCAGGACTGAGGTGGGGCCAGAGCGCTTGTATCATTTCCCTCTGGCACTGCTTCTCTCTCATGCAGGCGATGCTCCCCATATTCAGGTGTGCGAGTGCACTGGTAACACAGCAGCCAGGATTCTTTCAGTGACATCTGACCTTGGGAAAATCCATTACCTTTCCTTGTCTTTATTTTTCTCTACTTAGATACCAACTCCTCAAGGCCCGGGCAGTCTCTTTAAAAACGTGTCTAGTTTTCACCACCGTGGTCCCTCACGCTGAAACCCTTCGTGCTACATTTCAATTAGAAAAGCATCAGTTCTGACACTTGTTCTTCAGGCGAGAGCAAGCAGCAAGCTTTCTGGGGGGAGGGCGCAGCAGTTAAGTTCAGTATTAGTCTGGCAGTAGCGATATGAGGTGGCAGTCCTTCGGCTCGGCTGATCCGGCTCAGAAGCCCGTGCAGCCTCCCTGAGGTGAGAGCAAGCAGAGTTTCCGTGAAATGACGGGCACGGGGGGAGCACGAGCTCTGGAAAACGGTAAGATCCGTGAGAGAGCCAGTGGCCCAGTCTCGAGGGAGTGATGGCAGGGCGTGTGCACTTCTCCTAAAATTAGAAAATCTGGAGGTTGGAATGAGCTCTCAAGCACCGAGTGGTAACGCTTACAAGTGTGCCGGAGAGAAAGTGTTCTTCATTAGTTTTGGCTGTAGCATTTAGGATAAAAAACCGATAATGACACCTGGAAAAAAAAAAAAAAAAAAAAAGAGTTAGAAGTGAATCTTGAAAGCTTATATTATTTTGATTTTAATGACACACTGATACATTTCATCCAGGTTTCTTAGTGATTAGTTGAGAAGCCACCTACATATGACTGATCTCTAAAACGCGAGGCGAGAGAACCCAAGGGCTGGCACTGAAGTTTGGAGGCTCTGTGTCGGTCTGCAGGTGTCACAGTCTTACTCAGAATAAAAAAGAAAGGCCAACAGGGGTTGTATATCCATCTACGTTTTGTAACCAGCCCTTTCCAGCCAGTTTATTTTACACTTCCTCTTGCTAATGAAGATATTGGTTTGGTATGGTTTACGCTCTCCTTGCACGAGCTCAGGACTGCAAGATTCGTGTCTGCTTCTGTGCTTGGTTCCACTGACCGCAGCTGGTGCCCGAGACGCAAAGAGCAAGAACGACAGAGAAAGCAAAACAAGTTTACATCAGATCTCCAAACTGTTTCCTCCCAGTTAGTGTGGCAAACTCCGGAGATTAAGCCATTCATCTCTTCCTTTTCTTTTTTTTTTTTTTTAATTTTCTTTTTTTTTTCCCTTTTCACCTACGTGTTGTTGTTTTTTGTTGTTTTTTGTTTTTTTTCTCTTCGCATTTTCCAAACTAGCAAGCATGGAGGCAAGGCACATCAAGGCAGAGATGGGGAGTGAAAGAGCCCTTGTGCTGGACAGGCTAGCAAGCAACGTGGCAAAGCGAAAAAGCTCAATGCCTCAGAAATTTATTGGTAAGAACAAAAAACCTTTTCATGTGCAACAGTTAAATATGTGCAAGTTGGTAACCTGTAGTGCAATGCCTCTGTTTATGTCGAATATCCTTCTCAAGTTTATAATCTAATCTAATCCAAGAGAATATAAATAAAGTAACTAATTTTTCTGATGTGTTTTTAGTGATTTGTTGTAGGATTTTGATTAAAATAAAAAAAGAATACGTTCTGCTAAGATACTTAAGCTGGTTGGGAGCTACTGTTGTGCTTTGTGTCTATTTGTGTAGGCAATTTATAAATGCATTTTACGAGCTTCCACGTGTTGTTTTCTGTACCTGTGCCTTTGAAATGTTCTCTGCTAGGTTCTTTACAGGAAAAGAACAGGAAGGCTTAATGCTGCTCAGAGCTGAGGGCTCTTTCTAGGCAGCAGGAGCTGAAGATACTTGCAGCATGCATGTGTGGAATAAGGCCTAAAGACAGAAAAGCCTTGGATTTCTGTTAGTCATCCTGCTGCATTTGAATATGATTTAAAAATATCAAATCCTTTCTTGTGGTAATTTAAGCAACACGATGTTTCCATAGTATTTTCTTTGCATTTAATTTCATATGATCAGAGTTTTGCATGCTGGGGACCTTAAATACTAGTCTGGCAGGTTTTGCGAACGCCTGATCCTCTTGGCGAGTCTTATTTCATTAACTTGCCTTCTAAAAAAATAAAACGCAACTCTTGTGTCCTGAGTAAAGACCTGACTTAGTCAGCAGTTCTGTAGTGTTAGCACTAGTGCTGCCTTCTTTGTTACATTCTGTGTGCTTCTAGAGGGTTCCGAGTGGTTATTCTTCTGCATCTGAACTTTACCTTCAGAACAGGGGCCTGTGTGGTGCCTGGTGTTCACCCACAGGGCTGGGGAGGGGAGAGGCGTGGGGCTGGGAGCGCAGGCAGGGATCGGGATGGGAATGCAGGCAGGGATCAGGGCTGGGAGCGCAGGCAGGGATCGGGATGGGAGTGCAGGCAGGGATCAGGGATGGGAGTGCAGGCAGGGATCAGGGCTGGGAGCGCAGGCAGGGATTGGGGATGGGAGCGCAGGCAGGGATCGGGATCGGAGCGCAGGCAGGGATCAGGGCTGGGAGCGCAGGCAGGGATCGGGATGGGAGCGCAGGCAGGGATCAGGGCTGGGAGCGCAGGCAGGGATCGGGATGGGAGCGCAGGCAGGGAT